AATAAATGAAATCATCATTTAAAAGGTGCAATTTGTATTTAGTCAAGTTATCTTTGTCTAATATTAAAATTGGTTTGATGATCTGAAACATTTAAGTGTGACAAATATGCAAACAAATAAGAAATCAGGAAGGGGGCAAATACGTTTGACAGCACTGTACATACGCATGTTAAGGTGACATGATGTATCTGAGGGACATCAGCAGAGCAGTTTTGGATGATTCCTGATATTGTTAGGTGACTAAGACACACATATACAGAGATTAGTTTCCCCCGTGTGTCTCAGTGTTACAGCATGATGCATGGACTATTGTCTATGAATGTATGTGTGTGGTTGTGTTAGTGACATTTACCAAGTGTATTGATAAACTGTGTGTATGTTTCAATGTACCTATGGCATCCATATCTGTTTTGTGTAAGCCAAGTTTATTGGTGAGTTTGTTGATTTTATGACGTGCTGTAGAAGGTGTGCTGAGTTTGTCCTATACTGTGAAGATGATGTGCTCTGTTCAGAAGCTGTTCGTCTGAAAAGATAAAACAAGCACTCTATGGCTAAAAGTTTGGCTTTTATTTTTTATTGTTCCTTCATTTAGTTACAGGGTTAATTAGTCTCTTTGAGATCCCAATCTTCTCAGGAGAGGCTTAAAAACAAAAGCAATCAAGTAAGAAAGATAGTTCTTTAGAACTGACAATTCAGTACAATGTTTGAAAAGTCTTTTTAGGGTTGTATTGAGGATAACTTTATTGTTCAATAAACACACTTTTCACAGTTTTGTGTCACATAGTCAGAAGAAAGAAAATCTAATTATAAATGTTATAAATTATATTCAAAGAGCTTGTTACTTTTTTAAATTGAATCAACAAAATGAAGTCACTTTTAAACGTGTAGTACCAAGACTTATAATAATATTAATAATAATAACAATAATAATAATTATGATTTTTGCAGGTTTTTAATAATTACTGCTCTCTAAAATACTACTGTAAATACTACACTTATTATTAACAGGTAATTCAATAATTACCAAAAAAACAAAACAAAAGAAAGTTAGTAAATGCTGCAATCGGTAATACTTAATACCACATATTGAGACCGTATTTCATATAAGTAATTACTGTAATTAAATATATATATATATATATATATATATCATCATCATCATCATCTAGAAACATGAATGTAACAAATAGAGATTCAGTGGTCCTGAAGAACCAAGTGTTACTTCTTACTTACTCCATTTCATACACAAAATGCAGCTGTATTGGAAAGTTTTGTTTTGTGGCATGAAATGTGTTATAACTGCACCTTCTGCACGTTTATACGAACTTGTTAGCGTAATTTCTGGACATGTTCACCATTAAACTCAGGTGACATAGTATAGAGACCAAGAAAGTCCACACAGGAGGTGGTGAGATAGATGTCTGACACAAATAACCACAGGACCTTGACCCTGGAGACCGCTGTTTGCTTGTGAAACCAAAAGTAAATAATTAGTTTTAAATAATGTTTGGTCGCATATCCACAGCAATAAACACTCCTATAGCATTAGTTATTGCTCTGAATCCAGTCTCTCATTCTGTTTGCCATTCAGAGGCTACTTGAGCTTGGCTAACCGGGCCAATCTACATGTTATAGCTGATAATTTACTGGTGCACTGCCAAAAAAAAGAGATAAAACTCATGCTCTAGAATTTAATTGTCATTGTCAGTCAAAGAAAGATAGCAAGGTGTTACCCAGAACAAATCGAGAACAAATTCAGCGTCTCTCCATCATGTATATCTCAAAAAAGTATTGTATTGTAACAAAAAAACAAGTTAAAGATTTCAGCAATTATGGATGTAGTGTAGGCAGTCTAGATCTAATTGGTAGTGATATCAGCAAACCCACCTCAAGGTCATCCAACACATTTTCACATCCACACTTCTCTCTCCTAGGGAACTGGAAACACTACTGAAAACCCTTTTGTTCAATGATCATTTACAAAATAGCAGAAAAAAGTCGAAATCCAGACACTGTTTGAATAACAACTCATTGCTGTGCAGATATATGCAGGTTACCAACAATGCCTGTCCTTTTTGCTTCAGAACATAACTAGCTATATTATTTTGTTATAAGTGCTCAGTGTAAATCAAAGTTGACCTTCTTGAGATGCTTTGAAAAGTCTCAACAACATTTAACAAATACTCTCAGAGAGCAGAGAAAACAAGCTCACGTGTGCACTCCTCCTCTCAAGGATTGTCTTTTTTTCTGTCTGTTTCTTTTCTACCTTTCCTCTCAGTGGCCAGGGGGATTTTGCTGCTGGGATACTGTACTGTCATGCTCTGTCACCCTGACATGTGCAGTTTGGGGGATGAGCTTTTGTTGCTTTTACAGCATGCTGGCCTATTTTCAACCTGAATTGTGTTCAAAAAGCAGTCCTGCAGATCATGCTTGTCCTTTATTTAAAGGTTTATTATGTAACTTTCAATGTTAATTGTGACACCAGTGGCCGTTAAGTGAACTGCAGTCAGTGTACTGTTGCTCGCTGTTGTGCTTCATACATAGTCTGTCTAGTCTTGGCACAAGCAAGCATCATCTTGGGCATCGGCCAGAAATTACATACAATTTCGCTGGAAAACAATAACAATCATTTTTAAAATAACGTTACTATCTACAATGTTACTGTATTTTATTTGGACCGTTGACTCCATGCTACTAACTAGTTTGCTGTTTACAAATCACCCCATCAGCCAACACCACAAAGCAACCAATGCCCAACCCACAATATGCTGTCAAGCCACAGCCAGCCAGCCAACACCAGCTTAGCTTAGGCTATTTAGCCAGTTGGATGCCCCTGCCTTGCATGAGTTAGTATCATGGATCACGTTAGCTGGTGAAGTAATTTTATGACCTAATGTTAGCCAACTTACCATTCAGATAGTATTTTTCTTGTGATAATGTTGGCAAGCTAGTTTCAGTTACCAGAACCATTAAGTATATGCAAATGCAATGAATGCGAAAGTAGCTCTTGAATATGCTGTATTCAGGCCAACACTGTAGATGGGGTGAAACTCTGTGTTCTGTTCTCCTTATGTGGATGTACCAAAATCCTTTATCTCACAATGCTTTTCATCTTCCCCTTCAGGAGCAAGCAGAGCAACACTAACTCTGTAAATGCTATTTTTAACCACACTTTCCTGTTTTATATAGGTTAGATCACCAATACTAAAAAGACAGCTCATGAGTTGTTGTCAGACTTTGTGTTGCATAGCAACCAAATGATGTAGCACTTGCTCTAACATTTGATCTTTTGCTCTCTGGTGACTGATGATGCTCACTAGTAGATTTTATGATTCAGTAGGAGAAAAATTGCTGATTTCTCATAATGACCTACAGTAATAAAGTAAACCTTTTGAATTGCCATATATTCTGTACATTCAATCACTCTGTGACCAGAACAATGCTTTATGATGTTTTTTTTACTGTCAAATATCTTCTTCCATCATCAGGATAAAGTGTTAAAGTAAGCATGTGGATCTTTTAGTTCCCCAATTCATTATATAAATATATATATAAATAATATATATATAACATTATGTCCACCAGGATGCCCAGGTGGTCACAGACAGAAGCTGTGTCAGACAGCTGTTCCAGTTTGCACTCATGTTAATACTACCTGCCATCACAGCTTTGTGGCTTTTCAGGTTTTTTATTTTTAATTGTTTTACTTTTCTCAGCATAATGATAGCTGGTGAGAGACAGAAAAGACGGAGAAGGAGAGAGAGCATGCAACAAAGGTGTGCCAATCTGTAGTTTTTATGGATTTTACTAAAGAGCACCGGCCGAATGTCACTTCTGCTGGCTTGAAGACCTGGCACGTGTCTCTCTAAATTTGCAATATTACCGTCCTGTCTTTTACATTAATTCATTTATTTAACAATTCATCAACACAGACTGCTAGATATTCTTGGGGTGCACTCACTTTTTGTCTGCTGTCCTTAAGCTTTCTGCAGAATGAGGGTTATTTCATGTTTCTTTTCTCCACCATAGTCTATACCTGCAGGTCAAAAAATGCAGCAAAGGCGTCATTTTAGATAGTTTAGTGTGCTAATCCTAACCCTGACTGAGCTGTTTCACCATAAATGCACCACTACTTTCCACCACTGCCTTCTGCACCTTTTTTTTTAGAGGAGTAGAGCAGGCCTTCAAAAACTACGTGGCCCTGAATAAAATTGAGTGGAACCAGCTATCTGGTTAGAAAATTTGAGAAGAGGAGAGGTGCAGCTCAATGCTGATACCTGGAGCGACAGGTAAATGGCACTTCCAGGCTGTTGCTCCTGTTTGATAAATAACACAAATCACTCCAGGTGCAGAATAAGGCAAAAAACGACCCTATTAGGCTTACTAGATCTGACCAAAACAGAGAAGAAACCTTGTGTGTAAGAAAACAAACAGGCGTGAATGGCGAAGCAGAAGAAAGAAGGTGAAGAAGAGAAGAGTCAGTCAGTCAGTCAGTCAGACGAGTTCAGCTTTTGATTCCATGTTTGTAGGTTTGCTGTAAAAGCCTGCGGGCATTTCACTCAGTTTGAGACTGCTGCTTAACTCGACAGCAGGATTAGATAAGTACAGACAAACGCTGAGAAGGAGAGTAGGAGAGGTGTTTACTTCAGCGAGCTTTTCTGTCATAGTCTGCATGAAAGGTTTGTAGTTTGAAAAGAAAATGACTTTACTGTCTTCGACTTGTTTTCCCCGTCACGTCTAAGAAAGACTTTTTCACTCTCACTTCTCTGCAATGTTTTTTTTGTATTACAATGAAGCTGCAGCTTCAGCATGGATTGTCTATAAATTTGACAATTTTTGCGCTAAAAATCACAAGTATTTAGTATTGTGGTGAGATTATATCCCAGTCACTGTGGAAAAGCTTCTTGCACAGCATAAAACCTGTGATGGAAACTGTATGACATGAGAGCCCAGAGTCTGCAGGTTTCTATTGAGAGCACTGCATTTGGTGATGTTGTTGTAGTCTTAGCCTTTTGATGAAATTTTTTAATAATTAGATTTGAATTAGTCTTCGTCCAGTTTTAGTCAACAAGTTTTAGTCTAGTTTTTGTCATGCATTATTTATTGCTTCTTATTTTTCTAATCATTTTGAAGCTAAGACTCTAAAGATGGATATCACATCTCCATTTTCTCCCACTGTAAAAAAGTCTGCACAGTAGTGATCGGGCTGGCCGAAGGAAAAAGAAGAAAAATTAACACTTGAACATACATCAGCATACATAAACTGCTGTGGTATAAAGTTACACAAAAGCATACTGACCAACCAACAGATCCAAATCTATTATGTTGTGCTCGTCTATCACAAAATTAATGAAAAAGGCACAGCTGTCTGCTCTCTCCACTGCAGAGAAGCAATTAATTTGGAAGCTGTGTCACTCACTTGTTAATTATTACTAAATTGTCTGGGTTTAGTTAGAGAGGAGAAGCTAAAATGTTATTGAAATCATCAATAGAGTGAGAAGAACAAATTGTTGGAGGAAGAAAAATTCAGTTTTGGGGTGTCTGCTGAGAAAGCTCTATCACCATAACATTTAGTCATTGATCTGTGAACAGACTTTGGTCAGAGGATCTGAGGTGTCTGACTGTGTGATACGGGGGCAGGAGTTCACAGATGGACCAGTTAGCGCTGTGTAAACAAAGAACAAGCTTCTAAAGTTCAGTCTACAACTAACAGGAAGCCAGAGATGGGAGGGAGGAATCTGTTTTTTGAAGTAAAAAGTCTTGCTGTGTCATTCTGAGCTAATTGGAGAGGGATGAAATGGAGGTCCAAGTGATACCAAAACACAAAAAGATGCAGTAATGAGGCTGGTAGATATAAAGGTGTGGGAACATTTCTTCAGATCACAGACATAGAATTCTCCTGAGTTTTCAAACATTGCACAGCTGATTGAATTGCAATTTGATTTACATTTGACCACTGTTATATGAATAATGGCTATTTTGTCAGACAGTTGTCACAAGTTTGCAGGTAGAAAGACCAGAGGAGAGGTGACCTCTGACAGAAATTCTGCTATTGACAGATTTCTGCAAACAAATGACTAAATTCATAAAATTGCCATCAAGTTACATGAGTTAAGTTGTTGCTTTACAAGAGCTAGTGTTAATGACTGTGGCGGTTGTGAGGCCTAATTTTAGACTGTAGAATTATAAATGGAAGTACAATAGTCTCCATCATGTCAGAAGTTCCTAAAGAGCCCTTGTGAAGCTCAGTGTGGTTGGCTCTTTCCGCTGCCATCTTGGCAGTCCTGACTCTGCCAGCTCCCAAATAATTGAAAAATCTGCAAAGAGGTGGGGCGTGGGTAGAGCTGATATGGCCTGAATGAAGCCTGGTTACTGAAACCAGCCACCAAGCAGTGCCCTACAGCTGGAAAGTGCAGTACCCTTTACCTTAGTCCTGATGGTAACAACTCATATTCACCATAAAGAGGATGTGATGTGTCACTGAGGATTTCCCGCCCTTAGAAGCCAACCTTCTGTTCCATACATCAATTTCCTCTTCTCTTCTCCTCTTGGAGATATTCTGTCAACTTGTTGGTCCTTTTCTTTTAAAGATAGATGGACCACTATTCACATTCCTGTCAGCCACTCATCTCGTGCTCTGTAATCTAACTGTTCTGTTTGTCATTCAGGAGGAGGCAGCCAAGATTCTTTCCTCGCAAAGATTATCTCCAAAGTGGTGTTTCCTTGACTGTAAGTACAACACATTGTTATAATTTCTAATAATAATTTACCTCCTTGGTAAGTTTTTTCACTACCTGGACTCTCTCACCTCAATATCCCTTCTACTAACTTAACGTAAAAATATTTTCACATGTGTCATCAAGTTAGGACTCCATGTGCATAAAGTAGACAAAAATAGCATAATTTTACTTACCGTGAAGAATTACTGCTCTAGCATGTAAGCATAATTCAATAAGGCATAGATAAGGCATATATTCTTTTTATTATAGAGGGAATTTTGTACTAAAAAGTCAGACTGCTATATAGTGATATTAACTTTGGAATTAATTTTTTCACATAGTCTGTGAATATAACAACAATCCAGATCAGTTACACCCCCCAAAAAATCAATAATTGAATGTTTTTAGTGTTGTGCACTGAATAATAGTCTCTGCATTGTGAAACACAGTTATTTTCCAACTTGTTGAGTGGCAGTTGTTGTTTCTTCATACAAAGTTGATTTCTGGTTTGATAAGCAAGTTTCATCAGAGGGGTGTGGCAAGGGCAGGTCAATGTTGAGGGTAGGAATGTAACAATGTACTGAGAGACAGTTTTTTAAGTTGAGGGCACTATCTACTTTTGATGTTTCTTGTCAACCATCCTACATCACTTGCGTCAGTACCTATACAAAGGCGCAGAGACATGGGAAGACTTTAAAATTCAGGATGCACCATCCTTTTTAAAACCATAGGTGTGGCAGCTTTTTGCCTTCCCTAAGCCAGAAAATTAAACGCGTAGGAAGATAATAGACATTGGCAAGATATATGAGGCTCTTTTCCAAAGTTGACAGGGTTATATATTTATTTATATTATTTTTAGAAAAAGAAATATGCATTTTGCAAAGTTTTCATGAATTCTATTGAATTGTGATCTTAATGTATTGTTACATCCCTAGAGGGCAGTATACGAAATATAAAGAAATAAGGAGGGTTAAACAATCAATTGATTGTTTAAAAATTCTATCAGCAGCGGGAGGCAGACTACATGGACGATTTAAAAGGGTCATTCTAAGGTAACAAAGACATAACAAAGACATTGGGCAGCTGTGGTGCAGAGGCAGAGCGGGTCGTCCCCTAATCGGAAGGTGGTAGGTTTGATCTCTGGCTTCTGCACACATGTCGAAGTATCCTTGAGCAAGATACTGAACCCCAAATTGCCCCCGATCGATGTGTGAATGTGTATGAATGCATTAGTTTCTGTTCGATAGGCTTTGCCATCACTAAGTGAATGTGTGTGAAAGGGTAATAAATCTGTGATAGATTGAATTGATTGATTTTATGGTTAAACTGTGGCTTGTAAGATCAGATAATTCATATTTCTGTTGGGAAGCTTGGTCAAGCAGTATTCTAAGGCTTGGGTCCAAGCAGTGTTATCATAACCGATAGAAATTAAGGCCAACAGTATAAAGTTACGATTTTTTACAACACAAGTTGAAAATCTGAATTTTCATTTGAAGGTTATAGTTAAATAAATGCATACAAACACTCCTCCTGTAAGATGCAAACAGGTTTGTGTACTGGTACTTCCTCAAAATGACATAAAGCATAGTTCCATCAGATTCTTTTTGTTGCTGAATGTAATGAATATTAATGTCATACAGCAGCAGCTTACCAAAAATATCACAGAGAAAAATCCTGCATATTACACAATATTATCCATGCATTCACAAGCACACAAACCCACACACACATACACCTCTGCCTGTGAGTCCTGGTGGAATTTAGCAGAGAACTAGAGTCAAACAAATATAGCTAGCTGAAAGAGAGAGAAGGGAGAAGTGTTTGAAGAGGACAGAAAATGTGTGTGTGGTTAGCAGATGATCAGTCATATTGTGAACCTTTGGATTAGGGGCAGATCTAGAGGGGTGGCATAGGGGGTTGCTGACACCCCTAAAATGCCGGGGCGCCCCAGCTGGCACCCCACTTCGGTGTCAAACACAAATCACACTAATGTAGATTCATTTTTAAAATAACATGTTAATAAACAGAAATGAACACATACGCTTAGGATAAATGAAAACATACATTTATTTCTGATTTGGAAATAAAACAATGTATTAATTTCTCATGTCACCAGTAGATATTTCTATTCAATGCTTACTATGTACCACAATAATGTTTTAAGTTCAGATATCTTCACATTGTGTTTCTGTTTGTCTCTCTAGCTACAACAGCAGATCGTTTCTATAGGATAGACAGAGCACAGGTAAGTCTATATCGCCTATTAACTCAACTTCACTGGGTATTATTTTTCTATCATGTCAAGACTTTCTCTAAATGTAAAGTTGCAATCACAAATATTCAACCCCCCAAAGATTTTAAGGATTTATCAATGTGTGTGTTAAAAGAGTTACATTTTTCATTTGAACTTCAACGTTAAGTCAACTTCTGTTGTCAAAATAACTCAAATATGTATCAATAAATATTTTTTGTTGTTTAATGAGGTTTTTTTCTCATTTATTGTCATTATCTTTCATCCACATCCCTCATTTGAGGTGAGGGGGTTGAATATTTCTGATTGCAACTGTAGTTACATATGCAATATGCACGGGGCCTGACCCACTGATTTCAGGTGACATGAATACTTTCAGACACAACACCTGTGAGATGGCTGCACACAGAATGAAAGCACCTGTGCACCCACACTTACTTTTAATTTCACAAGATTAGCTTTGTGTGTGCGTGTAGGAGACGTTTGTCTTTGTGATTTACTAAAGAGCGTAGGTTTCTCAACCAAAAAATGCATTTAAATATTATATGTATTCATTTATGTAAATATATATTGTCTAGAAAAGTTAAGATTACATCCATAATGATGATAATAAGAATACATTAACTCTATAATCACCTACTAAGTTAAGATAAATCATATTATGTTAACTTCAATTTCTTTACTAAAAAGAGCACAGTCACAATGATAATTATCTGTAAATAAAAACAGATTAACCTGCAGAGTAAAATGTGGAGGGACTTCCTCATCACAAAACCTCATGCCTTCACAAGGATATGGCAGCATGTATGTTGCAAAACTCAAAAAGGTCAGAAATCACCTGCTGCTGCTCATAAAGCTTAATAACCGAAGGCGACATTATTTCAACCTTTCCATTAGCATTTGGACAGTAGGAGGACACAGTTGAAAGTTATTTTAATGAATGGATTAAACTGAAACTGAAACTGTAAAAATAAGGGGGATGGATATAAGAGTCTTCCCAGTGAAAATTGTACACTTGGACTTACTGTAATCGCTGTAACAGTGGCAGCAGATTTTTTTTTTTAATCAGAGTTTATAGCTTCACTGTCAAAAGCAGAGTGCTGGTCTTCCTGAGATATATTCAAATGCCACTTGATCTTTTCCATCCACTTCTACAGAGTTCTCTCACTTTAACGTGGCTATGGAAACTTTCTTCTGATAGCAGGTCCTCCAGCTTGAGGCTGCTCTGAGATTAATGCTGTAAAAAGCCACCTCACAGTGCATCTCCACTCAGTTACATATACATCATGTAACTCACCAGAGAGACATTTATTTCTCTCAAAGAATTATATTCTCTGGGTTATTTATCACTTCATTTTAGGTTGTCTCAGGGCCAATGGTTACACATGTTTTATTGCAATAACTACAAATCATGTTTACCTTACAGCTCTGACAACCATTTATAAAGCATATTATAGTTTGTTGTTTCCATTGGCTTTTTGGGCAATGTTGCAAATCCATGAAGTTCTTTATGATAATATTGCTTTTTTAATAAATGTATAAACAATGATAGAATAGTGTGTCATGAATCAAGGAAATGTATTTATCATTACACACACATTAAACACAGGTTGTTTTATAAAAAAATATATACAATCTATAATATACAACGACCAGCCGCATACGCAACAAACTGTGATGCACAGTTACAATTTGACCCTTGTCAAATTCGCAAAAAAAAACTGTTGCAACCTAATATGTCCCACTGAATATATCACCCACTGACAGGTGACATGATAATGACATAATCAGTGTTATTCACTTCACCTTTCAGTGGTCAAAATATTATGGCTGATCGATGTATTTAATATATTAAAAAAATCTAAACTATATACACAGTTATATAAATGGTAAATGGACCTGTACTTGTATAGCGACTTTCTAGTCTTCTGACCACTCAAAGCACTTTTACATTACGTGCCACATTCACCCTTTCACACACATTCACTCAGTGATGGCAAAGTCCATCGAACAGAAACTAACTCATACATACACATTCATACAATGCTCTGCATCAGGACAATTTGGGGTTCAGTATCTTGCTCAAAGATTACTTCGACACGTGGCAGGAGCCGGGATCGAACCAACAACCTTACAATTGGGGGACAACCCGCTCTGCCTCTGAGCCACAGCTGCCCATATATATATATAAACCTTCACGTATATACCCAGGGAATAATTCAGCAGGGCATTTTTAAAATTTTTGTAAGGGGTAAGGTAAATGTAGATAGTAATGATGATATGGTTTCTTTTTTACATAAAAACAACAAAAAAGTTCATCCTGCACGCTTGGAACATGGTCCCTCTGTCCAGGGTCTGGGATGTTTGGTCTCTGTCTAGCCTACTAGAGTGAGCAGGTCAAAATCTGGTCTAGTTGAACCCAATCAGACGTCATTCAGTGATGTTCAAGCTATGAAGCGGGAACAAAAAAATAAATAAACAAAATAAACAAAATGCTGCAAGTTTGAAAAAGTATACAAAGAGTGAATCAACATTATATGCCATAAATACAAAAAAGAAAGATAAATAAACAACAAGACTGCCTAGTTATAGATACAACTCTGCTACAGTGTGGCAAGGAATTCCAGCTATAGATGTTTCTGTGGTTGGTTAAAGAAGGCCTTTTTTAATGACATAGTCATATAATAAGGATTAATGTCTATTATAATAACATTGGAGCTTCAAACAGGGTCTTGATAATATCTGTCTGGACTGACTGTTTGAAACTGTTCTCTGTTTAATTTTTTTATCAGGAACATCTCAACTACGTATCAGAAATTTCCCAGGAGGAGATCTTCATCCTGGATCCTGAACTGGTTGTTATGACAACAGTTGGCACCTCCCCGTCAGCCATGCCAGACTTGGTTAATCCTGCCTCCAGCCTGGTAAACAGCAGGTAGGTCTACCACCTCCACCTCCCGATCCTGTCACCACTGGTTGAACCTTAACCCGAGCCTGACCAACCAGAGGCATTGTTTTAAGACTGTTGCAGCAAAAGCTATAGAGCACAATATACAGCAAAATACACTGGCCGTTTTAACGCGATGAATAAGAAAAAAAATTTTATGAACTTATGGGAAACATACTCGAGTTAATGACAACTACGCTCATTACTGAAAGTAAATGCAATGAAACCATTGCTAGACACTTTAAGTTTGTTTCCAATGAGATATTATTGAGTTTTTATAATGACTTTTTGGTTGTAAACATTATAGTTGCTGCTGTAAAACATATAGTTTTATGTAAAATATTAAAGGACAATTCCGGCGGTTTTTCCCAAGATGGGCGCGCGGCCTGTATACTGAGTTACGTTGTTGTAAACCTATCTTTTAATAGACTATCTGTACACTTTACAATTCCAATTGCTTGGTTTACAAGTAGGGACCCTAATTAATGCTACTGTGTAAGTGTTGGGCTATTTGACCTTGTTAGTGGTATAGAAATTAGCTTTCTTTTCACTTACTCATGCCCCGTTACATGCGTTTATACGGTAATTCGCGGTTGTGCTAAAACTGGTCACGTGCGGATTAAATTAAAACAGTATCCAGAGAACACCAACTCGGTAAATAGTGTTTTAACCCAGGTTCATTTG